TAATATATATATATATATATATATATATATATATATATACATTATAATTATATTTTATAGTACTACTTTTATTAATATTCCGTTAAATTGTTAAGAATTATCTCGTGAATTTATAATTATTTATGAATTTTATTTTATTTTAAGAAATAAAATTTTCTTTTTCATTACTCTTTTTTGATGATAAAATTTGCTCAACATTCAATTTTTTTTAATTTTTATTATATTATATTATATTACATTATATATGTTATATTATATATTATAATATAATATATTATAATATAATATATAATAATATATTATTAATATATATATTCAGAAATCTTTATCTTTCATTAAAATTTTAAAATATATTTCAAAACAATATATTAATTTTTTTCCCTTTTTATTTTGCTACTTATCTTACATAAAATTCTATATATATATTACTTTTTTCTATTCTTGTTTATTATATAAATTTTTTTGTCATTTTTAATTTGATTATGACTGTAGAAAATTAAACATTGTTATTTTTTTTTCATTTTATTTGAATTTTATTAAATTACTCTATTTTTCCACTTTTTTATTTCGTTTGCTCATTCAATATTTTTTTAAAATTAAACTTTTCTTCCATAAATATTTCATTTTCTATCTTAATATTTCTCTTTTATTGTTTGCAAACTTTTTTCCTTACAATGAATTTATTATCAATCTCTAATATAAAAAAAAATTATGTATATAATATTTATTTCATTATGTAAATTATTGATTTTTCAATTTTTTTTGAAATTATGTTGAATTAACATATAAAGAATTATAAATAAATGCATGTTATGATAGAATGAATGCGAAATTTTAGTGCATGATTTATTGATCGGTATATAATACTCTCTGCGTATATGATGATGAGTGATTATAGTCATGATAATATAATAATAACAATAAAATAATAAATAATGGTAATACGTGACTATACCATACAATAAATATTCGATGATAGATAATTAAAATCATTTAAGGATTATAAGATTTGATTATAAAGAAATGATTAATAACAATATTTTTTTTCTTTTCTTTTTCGCATTTTTACTTATTTTTTCATTGCCTTTTCTATGATTATTTTCTATATAAATATTTTTTTAATTTTTTTTATTTCTAATTTTTCTTGTTTTTTCTTTCATTCCATCTTCATTATTTTATTTTCTTTCTCTATTTATAATGCTATTTTATTATAAATTCTTTATTATTATTTTTATTTTTTATTTTCTTTATATATATTTTTTATATTATTATTATTTTTAACATTGTTATATAACATATTATAGTGATTTTTGTTCCTATTTGTTTTCTTTTTTATTAAATTTTTTATAATGCTATTCTATATTTTTTCTTTATAATTTAATTTTCGATTTTTTCTTTTTTTTATTTTCTTTTCTATTCTTTTTTTTATTCTCTTTCTTTATTTCTCTTCTTTATGTATCCTTTACATTTTATTTTACTTTTTTTGTCTTTATCTTTTTTTCTTTTCCTACACTCTCAATATTTTTTAATTTTTCTTTTTCTTTTTCTGATCACTATTCGATATTTAATCCATAATTTTCTATTAAAATTTTTCTTTCTAAATCTATATTCTTTCATTTAATTTTAGACATCATTTTCTCATGTTTTACATTACATTAATTTTGTTATGTTTTACTTGATTTTATTTTATCTATACTTTGAAAACATAATTTAAATATAAATAATTCCTAATATATGTATATGATTTTTCTTTCCAAACGATTAAACTATCAATGTAAAATGAAATAATAAAAAAATTAATTAGTTTACTTTTTCTGCTAATATACTATTTTTCATAAAATATATTGAATATAATTATTTAATTTAATTTACTTAATTATGAAATATTTAGTTATTTACTAGTTAATTTAATCAAATAGTTGTAATCGAATTATAATTAATTGTACAAACGTGTAATCTAATCGAGTTTGTTATTAACATTTACATCGTTCTGCAAATGTTTACAATAAATATACTATTATAACGATATAAATGTTAGCTGATGACATCATGCTTAATAGAATAATACATGTTATTAAAAATATTCTTTTAAAGGAATCTGTAAATCTGATTGATTATTTCTAATAAATTGAATAAAATCTTCAAGTGGACTTACAATTTCATATCTAGAAATCACATCATAATATGATTTGAATATTCAGCGAGAGATTTGAATAATCCTTGTCTCAGTGCCAAAAGTGTGTCGTGTGAATATTTTCATAGCACCAAATATAATCAATATATATGCGAAAAGAAACTAAACTAGATGCTGTTTATGAAATGATTAGTGAATATTACATATTGATATTTAATATCTCTTTCCCATACTATAACAAGTCTGACTCGTGATAAAGATGAATAGCACGAGTGGAACTCGTGAATTGAAAATCACTAAACCTAAACATCACGAGTGAGACTCGTGGAATGAATTTTTGTCAATCATGATTTCTGAGTTTTTATCAGTATGCCACGAGAAAATCATGATTCTTATAATCCACATTGCAAAATAACGTGCTAGTGATTTTGTACTTTAGTTTTTGAAGTAAGATTTAATAATTTTATTTTTTATAATAAACCCTTACAAAATGCAACGATACCAAAAAACATTTACATGGAAGCAATCCAATGTTTGTACCAATAAGAAAGCGTCTAAATCATGCAAGACTAAATTAATTTTTAAACTAAGTATTTTCCTATTAGATATTAATTCAATTTTTTGTTTATAATATACTATTTATTTTTAGGCGTAGTATTATTATATTCCTTAGAACAAAGGCACACTCAAAAGATGCTCAGAAGACTGTAATTTCTATTAAAATATTGTTATTTATGAAATATAGTTTCGAAACTGTTATTTGTCATTTATTAAAAAATAATAGATTTATAATATACATATGTATGAAAGCAAAAAGAATTATTGTTTACGTTCACAAAAGCTGTATTGCGTAAAGCAAATGACTATATCACATTTATTTCTATACTTGTATTTCGACTCGTATTGCAACTGTTTTCGAGCTTTGGTCTGTTTAGCCCTATTTCTTGAGGAGCTAAATGGTACGGGAAGGAATTTAATTAAAATATTAAATATATCTTCAGTTTTTATTTAACCCTTTGCACTTCGGGCCTTTTTCATTCGGGCGAACCAATAACTCCAGATTTCCTGCATCCGTTGAATTTCTTAGTTAACTTAAAATGATTTCACGCACAAATTAATGTATAAAACTTTTATATTTTGATAATTTATTGAATGTTAAAAATCTATGTTGTGTGATATTTTAATAATAAAGTAATTACTAAGAAGCATTCTTGGTTCGTCAGGGCAAATATCACAATAAAATATCATTACAAACTTTGCAATCGCAATAACGTACTCTCATTTATTGTCTATTATTCTTATTTTTCATCTTCTTATACTACATCTCTATTTTTATCACTATTTTCCTTCTCTCTATTGTCAATTTCTTAATGAATAGAAATAATTTCATTATTTAATAACGAAAAATTCATCTTGAACTAATATCCCAATAACTTGTTCTCAAATTCATAGTTTATTTTATTCTTATTTTTCTCTTACAGCATCTCGATTTTCATTACTATTTTCTTTCTCTTTATCGTCAATTTCTTAATAAATAGAAATCATTTCGTTATTTAATAACGAAAAATCAAACTCATCTCCACTTGAACTAATTTCATTACAGTTCCACGCTTACAAAACTCAGAAACTTTGAAAATAATATTTCTATCTATAACGCCGAAAATAGTTCGATCCGAGATCACGGTCTTATTTCAAATAAAAATCTAATCATTTGATTAGATTTGATCATTGCTACATCAATCCAACTGGTGCTAGAGAGTCACCTCTGGAGTTATCGCATTATACTGAGTGATGCCTGAAAGTCATCGTTGAAGCGCAAAGAGTTAATACTTAAAAAATTATTTTATAATACAATATTACATGTTAGAATGAAAATTCATTTGAAAATAAAATTTCTATAAATCGTTCTCGGGAGATTATTCTTCGCTAATGAATATTGCATTAAGAGTGCATACAGTTGAATGGAACATTGCGGAATACCATCACGAAAACTATATTCGCTATTGTATACTTTACATAATATATAAAGGATTATTAACACGCAATTTATTTGTTAATACAAAAATTTCTTAGTTTTCCTGATTGAATTTTCTTCTATGATGAGAAACATTGAAAAATAAATGTATAATACTCACCAAGTAATAACAACTTGATGTCCTTGGCGGCTTGAATACCATCCTCCTTCAGATTTTTCTCTATCTGTTTGCTACGGGCCAGTGCGGCCCGCTCTTCCGCGGACATGGCGCAGCCCATCTTGCCACAGGTTGCCTTCACAAACGCCACCACCAAGCCTCTGTTCTTTCCCTCGTCGGCCAGAAAACCGTTACTCTACTCTTTTCGTGGCCACTTCACCACCACCAGCCACGGCTCGCGACTCACGTCGCAGGAGTCGTCTTTTCCACGGTCACCACCACCCTCCTCCTCCGCCACCTCCTACGCGTCGTCACCTCCGCCGCCACCCTTCGACACTTACTCCCCGACGACGTCGTCTTCGTCTTCTTCGTTACCGTTCCTCTCCTCCTCACTAGCTACTGCTCCGCGACGCTCGCCGCTTCCTGCTGACCAAGCCCGCCACCCTGGAACGAGTTTAACCCTCTCGCAAGCACTAGCTCTGCAACAATCAATATTTACAATTTACATTTGTCATATCACTTATTCAATCGTACCTATTATTTGTGTAATAATTTAATTCTATTCTATTATTCGTGTATATTCATAATAGGTTAATTATATATTGTAGAAAAGCTGCTCCGATCAATTTGATCTTGATGCGATGTCGAGGATATCGGTCGGGATAATTTTTCCTTATATACTTAATCGGCAATCTCTTATAATCTCTTCCGAGATATTTGAAAAGGATTGTTACTATTGTAAAATTTTATTTATACGTCTATAATAATTAATACGTCGGCATGCAATTGTTACTTATTAATTGTTCATATAAATAGATAACGATAGTTGATATCCATAATATAAAAAGAATTAGCTAATATTGCCATTTATATTTATCCATAAAAAATTAGAAATTTTTCCAATTTTATGTAAAAAAATGAAATATAAAATAATCTTCGCACGATCGAAGTTGCAATAACAGTTATCAAAGAGAAGACTGATATTGTTTTCATTGCAATTAATGATAAATTTTATTAATTGATATAAAAAAAATTACAAACATCAAAAAATATAAAAATTTTTAGATTTATTACAATTATAAGTCGAAAGTTTGATTGTGATATTTGCTATTTTTAATTATTTATAAATTATAGTAATGTCAATCGACTTATTTATAAATCTATAAAGGCATGTCTCAAATTTTCATTATAAACTCAGAAAAAAAATCATGATCTTTATTTTTTTTTTCACAATTTCGAACAATAACAATTTATAAAAATTTTTCTACATATCTAGTAAACTAATCTTTCTAATATTAAATTCAATAATAAAATAATAAAAATTCAAATTATTTGATCCAATTTTAAAAAAGTTATTCCATTTTAAAAAATATACGAATTTTTTTGTCCATTATTATATGTTATAAAAAAATTATTTTTAGCAACTTTTTCCTTTGCACATAATCGATATGTTGGGTCTGAGATTTCGAATTATTCTTAAAAAATAGTGTAAAAATAATATTTCGATATTATTACATTAAATTTTATGATTTATATGTATGCATTTGTAGAAATACGTGTAGTAGTATACGATCGCCATTTCTATTAGTATATAAACATGGTATAATTTCAGATTTCTGTATAAGATTCCTTGTATGCAAAAGAAAAAATATAATGTGAAAATAATAATGTGAATAATGAAAATTTCTTTATGTAATTTATTTGTTGATTATTACGTAAATATAAATCTATAATTGAAAATTAACTCAGATAATATAAAAAAGAAAGTTCTTTATTAATAAATATTTAATATGATGGATATTAATTATTAAATAACAATTAAATCTATTTATATATCATTTCTCAAGAATAGAAATAAATATAAATCGATATCAAACTGATCGTATTTTAATATTAAATAAAATTAATTTCAATTTTTGGATATAATTATCCGAAATAAAGATATTTCAATAATTTAATTTTTTTAAAATTCTTAAAATCTGTATCTTTATATAAAAATTTAGATTAAAGTCCAAAAAACTCCAATAACTGAACGATACAAAATTTAAAGGAATGATAAAAGAACAAGAAACTTTAAATATAAAATTTTAGCTTCGGATATTTATTACTTTCTGAGATATTAATAAAAAATTTTCAGTACTATACATAATATAGATAAAATTATTACAATTGTTTTAGTTTTAAAAATTGTTAAATATTTAATAGACAATCTTGATATCTATAGATATAGTTTTCAACAAACTCTTAATTATATTAGTAACAATATCTTCGAATATATATATATATATATACTTCAGACAAAAAAATCTTGTAATTATATATATTTTTATCTATCAATAAAATTTCATCTCTTTTAATTATTATTTTTTGCATTAGTCTTGAGAAATATTAAAAATTATAAGATATGCTATATCATTTTGTTGCAAATTATATAAAATTTATTTAATTCTGGTAAATAAAATTTTTTTCACATAAAATACTTGGATTTTTTATGTATTTGTCTAATCTACAATCAAAATTTATTTATCACTTATTTATCATGTTTTTATACAATATTTTATAATCTCTAACTATCTCTAACAAATTTATTATTATTAAAAAAAAATGTTTTAAAATATAGAATACGTATTTTCAAATTAATTAAAATGTGTTTTCTTGCGTAACAATATGTAAATATAATTAAATAGTAATATAACAAATGTAATTAAGTTAATCTTCAGATTTTAATTTTAATTGAATATTTATGAAATTACATTAGATATCAATTGAGAAATCATTTCTCTTATTACTAAATCAGAACGAATGCAAAAAAAATCATGAAAATATGGCCAATTTTATGTTTGTTTAAAATCAACACCATGCAATATTACATAGTTATCCAATATTTGAAGTTTTCAAAGTTGATCTTATCACCCTTTAATTTTTAAACAAAATTTTTCTATATAAAAAAAATTATAATATTATAATATTAAAAATTATTATTTATTTATAGATAATATTTTCTAAATAATGAAAAAAAATTCTAATAAATATAGATGGAAAAAATAATATTTTTAAAATTATAAACAATTCTTTATTTCAATT